TTTAATGTTACCTTTTCATCCCAACTCACTGTCAACTTATTCATCATCATCATCATCATCATAATCTTCCTCCTACTTCCATTACTGACCATCAGTGCAAAAGAGTTCATGTCTTGTCTATTATCAGAAAAGTAACTATTCCCATCTCATCATCTCTCGAAAAAAGATTCACCTTCCTTACTCAAGATTCTCATCTAAGTTTTTTCTCTCTCTCTCTCTCTCTCTCTTCTTCATCATTCTCATCATTTTCATTATCCATCTCTCCCTTTTCCTTACTCTCTCATCTTCTTGAATCAATTTCCAATTCCAATGGGAGTTTTCAGTTGTACCATTTCCTTTGATTCTTATAACCTTTTTTTCTCATCCTCATCTTCCTACTCTTAGAACTTTTTTCTCTTCTTCTTCTTCCTCATCTCTTCCATCATCTTCATCATCTAGTGTCCAATTGAAGTCTTTTTTCATCTTCATCCCAACAACAACAACAACAACTACCTTTTACCTCTAACTTTCTCTCTTCCATCATCTCTCATTTACTCTCACATACAGAGAATCCTATTGATCCCATCAGATCCCTTCATCAAATGAACACCAATTTTATCCCAAAAGTAAAGATGCAAAAAGATGACCAATGAAGACAAAAAGTGAACTCTGGTCAAAGAGAAATGATGATGATGATGATGATGAATCGAAGGACAAAAATGTAATATCAACAGAGCTTGTATATTAATAAAATCCTCAGCATTCTTAATCACAGTGAAAGAATCGCGAAAAGAAAAAAAGTTTTTCGAAGAGAAAAAAAATTTTCTCTTCCATTGAAAATGAGCAGATAAATTGCAATCTAAAGATTGCAAAGAATCTGCAAATACAATCAATTAATTGTGATCCAAATTCAATGGTAACAAACTTTCAATCGTCTAAAGAGAGTAAACAGAAAAAATAATCATCACAATCAATTGCAATGGATCAAATTAATTCACTTAAACACAATCAATGCAACATAATCAACGAGAGGAAAAAAAACAAACTCGAAATATTCACAATCAACACAATCGGGTATCGAAAATTGTAACTATTTTGTTACACAGAAACACAATCAATGATTAAGATAAATTGTTAATCATTTCCATTGAGGTTAAATGTTGAGGAAAATTGTTAATCATAATCAATCTGATATACTGATTCAGTTGATATAACCCATTATTATCAACCATTAATATCATTATCATGTTTGTATCATCATCAGTATGAAGAGGAGGATAAATATTTTTTTAAACATTACAATTACCTTCAACAATTTAATGTTATCATCATCATTATCAAAAAATGATCAAGTTGATTGTAGAATGGTTGATTATACACAATGGTAATAACAATTTAATTCAAAGTAATCTAATTTCAAATGGTGAGAGTTGAATGTTGATTAACAAAAATTGTTATATTACCGTTATAATGGTTATCATTATGTTAATCATTAAAGATCATCAATATTAACTGAAATTATATAATGAAGACAATCAATATTCAAGAATAGGTAATAGCGTGTTTATTGTAATATGATTATATTAATTATGAATATTATAATATCATGATTATCATTTAAATGGTTACAATTTAATGTTGGTCTGTTAGGATAATAATAGTAATAAAATAATAATAGGAAACTTTGTGTTTCTTTTTTTTTGTTGATGCAAAGAAAAAGTTTTAGTTTTTGTTTGGGTGAAACAAAAAGTAAAGAACTGAATCAAAATTTGAATCAAAAAATTAGTTAATTATTGTAGCTATTGGGATACTCATTGAATAATCAATTAGCTAGACATTGGCCAAGCGTAATTGAGTTTTATTTACACCGGTGGGAAGTATTTTCACCCCGGTGTATTGTTGATACAATTGGAGTTTTCAATATCGTTGAACTGTTTTGTCTTTTTTTCATATTATTCAAAATTTGAATTTACCAAAATTTTCATGAGTTGAAATCATTCATTTTCCAACAAACTATGGATCCAATTTCATTTCTGTCAAGTTAATTTTACTTTTCAATGATTTTTTATGCTCTAGTTTTTTTTTATTTAGCCTTAGGGTGGAAACATGAAACTGAAAGATGATGATGATGATGATAGGTAAATATTTGCCTGACTAGTTTATTGCTTCATGATGAAATGATCATCAACCTGAGTCTATCTCTCGCTAAGTCTCAATGAATGAAAATAATGGCTTCTCGTTTAAGTCCCAGCAAATAATCAATGTTAGTTAACTGCATCATCTGTTTGCATTCCTCCAGTTTTTATCATCAATTCGCATTCTCTTCATCTTCTACTCTTTTTTATATCATCATTATCTTCATCTTTGTGTTTTTTTCCTCCACTATCTTCCTATCTTCTTAGTGATAGTCTTCTCTCTCTCTCTCTCTTGTCTTCTCGTTATCATCATTATACCAAAAAAAAAGGTATTGAATTGGTTGAAGAAATAAATATCCAATAGCTTAATTCACATTCATAGAGCGTTTGTTGATTCTCATCATCATCATCATCTATTGTCTTCATTTCAATTCTCCTCTTTACATACTGGGCAATCTTTTTGTTCACTTTGCCGTTTTCTATGCTAATAACCTTTAGGCCATTGGACTTATCAACGACTAAATACTTATTCAGTAGCGAATCAAAGAGTCGAATCTAAAAATCTCAAGGTCATGGTGACTTTAAATTCAATTTATTTTAAGGTCAGTTGGAGGTCATTAATAACTATAATCTTCGATTGCATAATAATTTTATGTGAAAGTTTCGTTTCTAAGAGAAATAATAATTGATTTTGTCAATCAACCGAGATCAACATTTATGACTAAATTATTGTTATTTCTTGAAAGTAAATTCCTGGAATTCATTAATTGATGAAATTTTCTGATTGTGCCACAATTAATAAACTTATTACGAAAAATAAACTGAGAAATTACATGAAAATCCAAATAAAATGACAGAACTTTTTTCTCACTGTATTTTCATCTTCTTGTTTTTTCCTCCTTCACTATCTTCCTAGTGATAGTCTTCTCTCTCTCTCTCTCTTGTCTTCTCGTTATCATCATTATACCAAAAAGGTATTGAATTGGTTGAAGAAATAAATAAATACCCAATAGCTTAATTCACATTCATAGAGCGTTTGTTGATTTTCATCATCATCATCATCTATTGTCTTCATTTCACTTTCTTCTTCATTTCAATTCTCATCTTAATACATATACATACATCTTCCTCTTCATCCTATTTCCACTCCCATCTCATCATCATTGTTCCCACTAATTGAAGCGAAACATCAATAAGACAAAAAGCTCATCATCTTTGGTACACTGGTGATGATAAAAAAAGTGGGAGTCAGTGGGTGGAAATAAAATTTTAATCAATTTACAGGGAGGAAATTGAAGAGGGAGAGAGACAGAAAGAGGTGGAAATTGTAGTGGGAGGATTGTTTCATGATATATATATGCATGATTTCAGTTATTTTTTTCACTCAGATTCTGGTAACATGATAACAACATTTTGACATGAAAATGAAGTCACAATAATCAATTTACTCAATGATTAACATCTCGATTGAAACAATTTAGTTGAATAAGTGATTTAAAAATAAAATAAAAAAATGATCATAACTCATCTTTGACTTTGATTGTTGATAATTAAATTAGTGATTAGCAGATTCAACTTACCGAGACAATTAAATTCAGTCAACAATGGAAAGACACAATTATCGCAATCAACAAATTGAAGGAAAAGAGTAAAAAATTTGAAAATAGAAACAATTAATTCATTCATAGTACTTTTACTTTTTCCTCATTTTCCACTGGTCAGTTTATTTTTATTACTTAATCATTTATTACCTAAAAATGGTCAACAATAGTCAATATGGAAACATATATTACGAAAGTTTTAATGTCCATCTCATGTCCATCATCGGTGATATCACATACCTTTACCTTTAAATGGCCATTATTATTACTCAGGATAAAAATACCTAACGTGACCAATGGTCATTAGTTGTCACAACGATTTTATCACCAGTAAGATAAAAGTTGACCAAAAGTGTTGTTACAATGGACATTTGGATGGACGATTAATGATAAGTATCTTCATCCAAATTAAATGACCTGATTTCAAATGTAACCAATTTGGTTAACTGATCAATCAACAATCAGCCTGATTGTTGTTGTTGTTATTGTTTAACTAATTGTTTTGTTGCCTTACTTGGTTGATCTCAATGATTATCTAATATTCAATGATCAAGATTAACCTTCAGGATAACATTAAGTTAATACTAAATGAAAACTCATTCATCTCTATGAATTTTCAACCTAAATCCTATCAGAACTTATTATTTTCATTATTATCCACCTTCATCACTATCTCTCACTCACCTTATCCCCCTGAATTCCTGGGATGATTCTTGATTCAATAATTAGGAGTAAATATTTACCCACCATCAATAGTTTCTCATCCTATTGTCAGCTTATTATTATTACCATTGACTCTGGTGTATTGTCTTGATTATCATTTTTATTTCCCCTGTCATTTTCATGGATTATATTATGTACCATGTATCATGAAGATATGAGAAAGATTCAGGGTATAATTATGATGATTAGTTCATTTGCTTTCATGAAGGAATTGGTAAATATATGAACGAGAGAGAGAGAGAAAAAAAAGTTGCAGGATTTTTGGTACCATTGGAATTAATTCTCACTCTGTCTCTCGAATTGTTTCAAGAAGGTTTCATGATTATTCTCATGATGATGATTAGCATTCTCATCATTCTCTAAATCATTTATTCAATCAAATGAAAAGATTACTCAGAGTTTTACTCTCTCTCTCTCTCTCTCTTGCATTTTACCCTGAGGGTTTATATGGATAAACGATTCAATGGTGATAAAGAAAGGCAATGAAAAGACGTGTCATCATCCACTGAGAGTATATTGACTGTCATTTGTTATTCTGATTCAAAATTCATGATAAATATTTCATGATATTTCATTGAGAATAATAATTTGTTCACATGAAGATAAATAAGAAGGAAAATCCAATATTTTCAAGTTTCCATCATGATTCTGAATCAAGAAGGTGTACATCAGAGGGATAGAAACAGAATCATGATGTTGAGAAGGAAGAAAAATCTTTTTTTCCCTCAGAACTTTATCTCTTTTAGAAAAAAAGGAAAAAATCTTTTCTTTTTGGATCAGCCATTTGACCATCTCCTTATTGGTCATCATCATAAAAAAGAGAGCAAACTAAGAAACGGAATAAGAATTCATCATGTCCATCGTCTTTATCTCTTCCTTCATGTGAGTGTGTCTTTCTGTGAGTTTTCTGACCAAAAGTATTAAACGAAGGTGTGACTCGATCTCATGTTCTAATATTGATGCTTTTTTATATATTGACCATTGTCCACTTTCTCTTATTTCCTGTTGTTGTTTCCTTTCTGTTATTATATCCTTTCCATGTAACTTTCCCACCATCAGTTTCGAAATACAGATGGAAGAGAAAAAAATAACTTCTCTTCTCAAGATTTACTCTTACGTTCTTAAAGTCCATTTAGAACTTTTCTTGTTCGATTTTTTTCTGTTCTCTCTTCTTCTTTCTTTGAAACGATTTCACATTTTTTTGTTTCTCCAGTTTATTATCGTTAGTGAATTTCATCATTAATGTTATTATTTTGATAACAGGGCGGGAAAGTAGATCGGTCAGTGAGAGAGAGAGATGGGAAAATGTCAACAATCTTGAGCATCGACAAGATTCAGATAAATCATCTCAGTAAGTTGAAATGTTATTACCTTGGGTGTGTGAGTGAGTGTCCACTATTTGGTCAAGCTTTGGATTTGAAAGCTTTCATATATCATTGGTTAACTTTTTAAAATAATGATGATCATCATAAAAATGAGAAAATAGTTATGTCACCAAAGTTGAAATGATATGATTGATTAGAAAAAAATTATTGTAGTCATAGAAAAAAATGGAAAGGGAAAAGTATAACAATCAATTGTTGACAATTAAGGATTATATTAAAAAGGATAATATTACAAATGAGTAAGGAAGTGAAATTATTTTTTCTTTGGTGAAATCATTTGATTGGGAAGAGGTAATGTTTTCGTTTTCGGCTTGACCAGTTCTCTGAACATAACTTGGACACCTCGTTGTCGGGCTTTTTCAAATTCATCGGCTGCATGTCGTAGTTTTCGTGCCATCGCTTTGCCCGTTTGTGAAACTAATTTTGAAAATAATGTCGATTTATCTTTAAGTAAATTAAATGGTGAATCAAATTCGGCAACTTGACCAGCATCTAGAACCTGTAGAAAGAAACATGATTAGATTTCTTTTGAACAGTGGAAAGTTAATTTGATTAATTACCAGAACACGATCCGAGTCAATTATGGTATTTAATCGATGTGCAATCGTAAGTGTTGTACATTCAGAGAATTTGGTTCTAATCGTATTTTGAATAACAAGATCAGTTGAATAGTCCACATTAGCGGTAGCCTCGTCGATGACAAGAATTTTGTTATTACGAAGCAAAGCTCGAGCCAAACAGACCAATTGCCGTTGACCCACCGAAAAGTTACTTCCACCTTCACGAATTTCATACTCTAATTTTCCATTAAACTCATCAACAGTTTCTCGTAATTGAACATCGCCCAAAGCTTCCCAAATTTCGGCATCTGAGTGCTCTTTAAATGGATCTAGATTGTAACGAATTGTACCAGCAAATAGAACTGCTTCTTGTGGAATGATTGAGATTTTTTTACGAAGAGTGTCCAATCCAAGACTCATGATATTGACTTTATCGATAGTTATTGAACCTTTCGGTTCGACGATTCTGAAAAGACACGACAAGAGGGAACTTTTTCCAGCTCCTGTTCGACCCACTACTCCAATCTTTTCTTTAGGCTTTATGGTTATATTGATATCTTCAAGTGTTGGTTTAATCGCTGATGGATATTTAAGACTAACATGTTCAAATTCAATGGCACCAGAATCAGGCCAAGTCGCTGGTGGGATAACATCAGTAATTGGAGGAGCTTCAGTTTCTATCTCAGTATATTCAATGACTCGTTCAACGGCAGTCATTTGACTCTCAAATTCAGCTGATTGACGAACAGACCATTGGAAAAGACCGATAAGAATGACCACCGATGAAAGGGCAACACCAACTTCTCCAGGAGCATTATCTAAATCAAAAGTATAAGTATAAAGAGGTAAGAAAACTAATTAGCTAATCAAGTAAAAATCTTTACGATGATTTATGGTTGTAGATAGAAAAAAAATCACACAGGAAATGATTTCCAAGTCAAGATGATTATCAATCATTTAACACAGACGCTAATTGATTAAGTGGTTGATATCAGTAGATTGACAATGTTTACCTTGAGTGATGGTGACAATTACAGTGGTAACAATGATTATGTATAGTAGACAAAAATAATCAGTGAAAACTCCCAATGCTCTTGAAGCACAAATAAAGGTGAACCAGGTACCCGAATGATCATTAAGGTGAGCCTCAAATCGACGGCAAAATAAATCTTCCACTTTATATGATCTAATTGTTACAATTCCTTCGACAATTGATTGGATTAACGAATAAACCGGACTTCGAGCTAATGAGAAAAAACAAAAACAAAAGAAAACAATCAAATTAATTATTTAAAAATACAAATTATACAAGAGGAAAAACAATCATCATCATCATCATCATCATCATCGTAGATCTTAAGATTCAATCAATCGAAATGATTAAGGTAATAGTGATGATAATCAAGATGATGATCTTGTAAAAGTTTAATGAGTGGAAAACCCATTAAACAAATTGTATTACTTGATTGTTAAAACAATTTACTTGTTAGATATATTAAATTAAAGTAAATGGTAATGAGTGAAGGAGGTTCAACATTATAAACATGTCACAATTATTGTTGTCACTTGTTAGATAATTGTAACAAGGATAATGTTTAATTAACTTAATTACCAACTGATTCAAGTCTTTTAATGTCTCTCCCTGAGCGGATATAAAACTTTCTTAATGCAAGTACACTAATCAACAAGAAAATGGCTGGAATAATTAATGAAGGTGAAACATAGGCAATAACAAATATACAACCAATTGCAGTAAATGAATTCTAAATGAGAAAGAATAACAACAATTTAACAAAGGAAGAGAGAGAAAAAAATTGATTGATTGATAATTGATGATTAACTTACCAGAATTAAATCAAACGCAGTTGATGGTAAAAGTTCATCGATGATTGAAAGATCTCTAGAGAAGCGATTTAAAATTCTGCCTATCGGATTAGACTCGAAGAGTGACATTGGTGATCGTAGGACACGATAAAAGATGACATTGTGAAGGTTAATCGAGGCATTGTTACAGATACGGAAAAGTAAAGTTGACCTTAGAATACTGGTTACAAAAAGTCCGATGATTAATGATGAATAGATGCCAATGTTATATGTTAAATTAGGATCTTGCGAATCGGGAACATCAGACCGATAACCAGCCGATTCAAAGTCCATGATTGGTAAACTGTAAAACCCAACTGGTGATCGAGACCAAAGCCATTCCATGATTAAATTGTCTCGAAATTTTTTCATTAATGAACCAGAAAAGGAATCCGTCCAATTGGATAGCCAAAGGTCATTAGAGGTGAAAAATACTTGGGACAATATATTGGTAGCCAATGTTGCTAATCCAAGGAAACAATTGGCCCCCGATTTCAGATAAGCCCAATATACTTTAGTTTTAACTGTTCCTCTAGAATATTGTTCAACTTCAGGTGATGGTTGCATAATTGGGACAATATCAATCGCTCCCATAGGCATAGAGCCCACGGAAAGTTGGGAAGCGGTTGAATCTCGAGATGGAGTTGAGTTGACCGGTGAATGTGCCACGTCTTTTGATTTACGTTGTTTTTCAGCCCGTTTTCGAGCTCTTTTGGCCTTAATCAATTTACTTTTAGCTGTTTCCTTTGATATTTCACTGACTAAATCAACTTTGGCTGCTTGAAGTTCAGTAAGGGAATTAAACAAGGTCGCTTTACCGTCGTGCATTAAAACAATTTTACTAGCTTTCTGTAAGAATTGAATTTGATGGGTTACCAATAAAACCGCTTTTCCAGAAAGAAAATCTCTAATACACCTAAGAAAAAAGGCAAATAAGAATGACGATAAAAATGAATTAATTACGTCAATCATATTAATCGCTTGTCATTAACAATCAGCCAATCAAAATGTCTTACCGTTCAAATATAAGATTTGCAACATGAGCATCAACAGCACTCAAAGGATCATCAAGAAGGTAAATATCAGCTTCACGATAAATTGCTCTGAAAAATGTAATAGATTCAATTGATTAGTTGAAATTGGAATGAAATGATTTTGATTGATAATTTACCTGGCAAGAGAAACTCTCGCTCTTTGACCACCACTAAGACCAATACCTCTCTCACCAACTAAGGTGGAATCACCAAAGGGTAAGGACATGATATCACGCTCCAGAGTACTCGCTGCGAGTACACGTTTGTATCTTTCGGGATTAAATGGTTGACCGAAAAGAATATTTTCCCTAATACTTGCATTGAAAGACCAAATTTCCTGTGAAGCATAAGAAATTGTACCATTTCGTATAACTCTACCAGTCTTATTGTGAATCTCGTCAAGAATTGCCAACAGTAGGGAAGTTTTCCCACTCCCGGTAGAACCAATAATCACCATAAGATCACCTTGATTTACTTGTAAGTTAATATTTTCCAGACAAGAATCGTCATCAGATGGATCCCAATAAGAAGTTAATTTATCAATGTGCACAAATCGAGTCTCGACCGGATTATCAACAGCAATCGAATTTGAATTGACAACATTTTCCAATACTAACAAGGACTAAAAGAGAGAATAAATTTTAACACTAGATGATGGAAATCTATATACAGGTAAACCTACCGTAATTCGTTTACATGAAACCAGTGCTTCGAAAAAGGTTGAAACCGCTTGAGGAAATTGAAGTGTCAACGTTATCCGAAGCGTATTGAATAAAGCCAAAGTTACGAAAATGGCATCAGCTTTCAACGGGAAACCTCGTAGTATATGGGTAACAAAACATGAGAAGATGATAACTCGAGTGGTGACAAACGAAAGTGACATATTGATGGCACGAAGAAAACAGAACCATTTGATACTTTTAACTTCTTTCCTGGAAAAGATCGAGAGAAAAAAGAAACAATTATCAGTTAAGAAAATAATGATAATGTGATATTAATAATAATAATAATTACTCTCGTAACGATTGAACCATATCGGCAAAAGGTTTTTCCCATGAGTACATTTTGATCACTTTAATTCCAGAAAGTACTTCAGTCATTGTTCTTATCCGTTCATCGGTAAAACCAGCGGTATTCCGTCGGGTTTTCCCAAAAGATGAGCCCATCAATAATTGAAAAGGGACGAAAATACAAATGACCGCAAATCCGGCTAAATAAGAGTAACCAATATAAGACCAAATAATGAAAGAAATGATAATCGTTTGAATAGGAGCAATAATCATATAAGGTAAAAACCAAGAGCACTGTTACAATTTCATAACAAAACAATTAATAACAAAATGTTCATAATAATAATAATCTGAGAATCAGGTAATCAGTCTCTTACCTCATCAAACCTTTGAACATCGTTGGACATTAGGTTAACAATTTGACCAATCTCATTGTTGAGAATAGATGATTTCGAAAGGGTTAACAGTTTATCTAACATTAATCGTTGAACGGCAACTCGAGCCTTCATTCCGTATCGAGCAGCATTTGCGAACCATGGATGATGAGTAACAACAAACGATATGGAACAGAAACAGAATCCAATGGTGTAATAGAGTAAATTATTTGATTCTTTTTCCTTTTCTATTCCTCTACCAAAGTAATTAACTATTGCACCAAGAAAGAAAGGTTGAATAATCCGAATGAAAAAATCCTGTGAGTAAACAAAATGGAGAGAAGCAAAAAATCATTAAATATACAAATACAATCAAGAAACTAATAAACTGATTGTCGGTTCTCTCGTTCTCTTTGTACCTCATAGCCAAGAATAAGAAATGAGATTAACATGTAACGATAACCAAATGCTCTAAGTAAAGCTCTCGCTAAGCTTGGTTGCTTTTTCTTCATCTCCTTGGCCCATTCTCTGTGTAGGATAATAAGATTTTCTAAGTAAATTTCCAACAGAAAATGATCTTATCCCAATACGGGAATTTGTCACTTACACAGACAATTTATTGTAAACTTTGTCCGCTTCATCGCTGGTACTACATCGGTACATATCGGTTAGCTCCAAATCTTTTTTATATCCTCTCTTGAATAAGGATAAATTCCAACTGTAAAATTAATAGAGCAAAAAGTCAATCAATTAGTTAGATTCGTTCATCTCTTTTTGTTGTACTTACGCGAATGAAGTTCGAGACCAGAAATTAGCACTATCCCATGGACAGGGAATGGTCACTTTTTCCTGGTTATCCATAGTAACCACCACGCGATTTTTTCACTTCTCCGTCTTGATAGGGCACAATTTAATTTACGTACCAACGGGTTGGCAGTGAAAGAATCACAATCTAAATGGAGTCACAATCCTGAGAGATAAAAGTTAAACAAAGAAAAAAAATGTTAACCGTTAAAGAAATTAGAGTAAATCAAATAAACATTCAATTAGTCAACAATGTTGCACAACAATTACTTTTAAATTAACTGGATTAATCCAAAAGAATCCGTGGCTTTTAATTTAGACAATCAGTCAATCAAGAAAGTTGCTCATTTAAATCATCTGATCATCTAATTGTTTCTCATTGGTGTGATAAATTCAATTGATTTTCCAATTGATGATTTCTTTTCTTCATCATCTTCTTTGTCTAATTGTGACAATCAACAGCTATCATCAAATTGATTACCTCCAATGATTACATGTAATTTTGTTTGTTCGGCTGGTCTATTTGTTGACAATCCAATTGATCCGTAACAGTAATTGAACATCACTCTTTTCCCGGCGAAAAGATTGATCCGATCTGATTAATTTCCAACAATTTCTAATCATAATAGAGAATTACTTTAACCATTGGTAAACCAATTGAATCATCAACAATTATAAAAATAGAAAATCAATTCTCAAAAAAATCAAAATCCATCCAAAGATCATGATGATGAACACAACACACAGAGATTAAATTTATAATTAGATTATAAATCTCCAGAAAAAGAAAACCGGAAACATGATGATAATCACCACCACAATTAGACAAAATTAATCTGATTCATTTGAAAAGAATATAAAAATAAATCAATGAAACATATTTAAAATTAATTCCAAACTTGAAACCAAACAAGAGAGAGAAAGAAAAAAAAACAAACAAATGTCACAATCTAACAAACGAATCGATGATGAATAAACAAAGCGAAACGAATAGTTGACAGTAAACAGTTTTCTCTAGTTATTCATGGAACATTAATCAAGTCAAAAGGTTAAAGGTGAAAAAGAAAATGAAGATAATTAACATTAATTAATTAAAAAAAAAGAAAAATTCTCAATCAAAACAAAACAAAAAAGAAGAAAAAATTCTTAAGCTGTTAATCTACCGGCTCATCGATTCTCGGCTTGGGTTAAGATTTTCTTCTAATTCGATGCGCCCCCTAGCGGATAGAGAATAAAATGTTTCTCTTTTAATTCTCTTCTAAAGTCATAAAGAGAGAATAAATTTTTTATTATTAATTGGTGTTTTGTTTTTCTTTTTTTGCTTGGTGGTTGTAAATTGTTTTCTTTTTTTCTCTCTCTCTCTCTCCCTCTATCTCTATCTCTATCTCTCTCTCTTTTTCTCGCTTTCTCTCTGTTGTTATCTAACTAATTAAACACTGATTGTGATTACAATGTTTATAATAAATGTTTATAATAATCCTCCTCTGGAGGAATGGGTAAAATCCCGTAACCAGTCAAAGTTGAAAACTCTGTGTCGAAAATTCCAGATCCCCTGTAATTCACCAATTCGTACCAATTTATGGCCATCTTTATGTCGATCATATAAGAAAACAACCTCTGAGCCTCAATTTGAAGATCTCCTTAAAGCTAATTTACTTTCACCTTCCTCATCTGCAACAGTATTTGTTAATGATGGTGGTGGCGGGCAATCTGATAGAGGAGGAGGAGGAGGAGGAGGAGGAGGTGTTGGTGTTGATGGTAGTAGTGGTATTACTGGTGGCGGTGGAAGTGCAACTAATAAAGGATCAATTACTGGTAGAAATAATAGTAAAAATAATAATCGTAGTAGTGGTGGTGGTGGTGGTGGTGCAAGTGTTGTTGAAATGCAGGTATTACAATTGTCTACATCATATTCTAATGGGATGATTACCGATCGTTTACCTGGTGATTTACCTCGTAAATTACCTTCTTTTGTTGATCCAAATTATTGTCGTTATTTTAAGTTAAACCCTGATGGACAAAGATTAATTGAACGTATTCTATGGATTTTAGCTCTCAAACACAATGAGATTACCCTTTGCCCATTATTATATCCAATTGCGGCTCTTTTTCTTCATTATTATGACATTACTCAAACATTAACCTCATTAACCTATTTATTGGAAGCACCTTCATCAGGTATTGGTGGTAAAGAAGGACCTTATCTATTGCCCCAATCGAGAACCCAAATTGTCCGTCAAGCTTATGTTCTACTACGATTAACAAATAAATTTGGTTTCCTTCCAAGGCGAGGTTTTTTCACTGAACAACGGGATCGTTTGATTAAAGAAAATGAAATGGACGCTTGTTTCCTTGATTGGTTAAAATGGATTTTCATTGGTCTACCCTTTGAACATGTTGTCAGAATAATGGATTGTTTCCTGGTAGAAGGAACAAAATTTCTTTATCGTATTGGTTTAACATTATTAATATTGTATAAAAATTCCAGACCAGTATCACCACCTTCTCGTCTTGGTATGATTACTAATAACACTTCAACCAACATAAATAACCTAAACAACATTAACTCTACCAACAATATTAACAATGGTTCCTCTGCCACTTCTGCTGCTGCCACCAACAACTTTAATACATCAAATACATCAACATCTACATCAAACACCACCTACAATAACACTTCAACAACAACAACAAATTCCTCCTCCTCTTCATCATCTTCAACATCCTCTTCGTCACCATTCACCTTGGACCTGATGTTGTCCTTTTGTGAGACAATCAAATTAACACCCGATGAGCTAATAACCGTGGCAACCCAATTACGACGTTTATCTCGTTCAAAAATTGACCGAACCTACAAGGAAGCCTCCCACCGAACGGAAAAATTTAAAATACGCTCAGCTCCACCATCACCTTATCATCATTCACATCATCTGGGTTATAATGATCTTACTCCAACCTCATCAAGGAAACTTGAAATGATCAGCCTTGATTCGGTTAAAATATCTGATTGTACTCGGATAGCACCACGATCTCTTAAATCATCAATATGTGATTGGCAATTATTAGATATACTCTGGGATTGGATACCTGAAAGAACACTCATCAAAGAACCGGTCATCATCTTCTGTTCAGATGTCCATGGAAATTCATTGTCTACATTTTATGCTAAAAATGAAACTGTTGAACAATCAATTTTACTCATAAAAACAGTCAACAATGAGGTAAATAATAATATCAATCATGAAATCATCATCATGCCAACAATTAACTTTCACTACCCACAATCACAAAGGAAGACATGTAAAAAGACAGAGAGAAGAGAGAGAGAGAGATATATATGTATGTATTTAAAAAAGAGATGAAAGGAAAATAGAAAGGGAAAGATAAAGATAAAAATTTGATCCTTGATTGTTGATTAATTTGAACATACAAATCAAATTAACAAAATGAACAAAAACAAATTGATAGCTATGATTAACTCACCTTTTTGATTTTGTAATATATTATCATTATTACGATATGATAATTTGAGATAGTTAATCGATTCATAATCAGAGAATCCAATTTCATTAACAGTAACATAAATAATAGTGATGGTGTTGATGAAGATGAGATGATAACATGATGAAAAGACAAAATATCGATAGAGAAAGAGATAGAGTGAGAAGAGCGGAGAAGTAAAAAAATATTATTTAGAGAGAAAGAGGGAGAGAGGGAGAGAGAGAGTGTGAAAGAGAGAAAAAGAGAAAAGTAAATCACTGAGCAACAATTTAATACATTTAACAGCAATTGATCCACAATCAGCATTATCATAACAGTTTAAATGAAGAGATCAGGAAGAAGAGGAAACTATTTGGTTAAATTAATCCAATTAAACCAATTTAGTTTTCTCAGCATTGTAATTCAAGAAGATAATGACGAAGATAAAAATTGAACCTTATTTACCAATGTAAAATTAGGTGTTTATTTTATTATCTCTTTCGTATTTCTCTGTCTACATGATGATATATTTTTATCTCTTGACAATTGATTGCATTTATCAAGATCTTTCGTCAAGACATCATTTGCATTTTAATTGCAAACAGTTTACAATAAGTTGACTCAGATGATAATTAAAGAGAGTCTCCCTTTCTCCCTTTCCCTCTCTCCCTCTTTCTCTCTCCCTCTTTCTCTCTCTCTCTCTCTCTCTTTCTCTCTCCCCCTCTCTCTCTCACCTTGATTATTGTAATTTTGACTAATTGTTTTCTATTCTGTTTTTTTTTCTTTACACTTTTTAATTTAGATCTTCGGTGCTTTTTGCTCAACCTCATGGTCTGATCGATTAGGATTTGATCGTAAGGGCGCAGCGAAACAATATTTCGGTACCGGGGAAACATTCCTATTCACATTAAAACCAAAGGTTGCTTATTATCCCTGGGTTGGTACCAAAGAGTATGGTTCAGACCAAACGAGAAACATTCCTTGTTCATGTCAACTCTTTATGGCCGCTAATGCCAAAATGATTACCATTGGTGCTGGTAACGGAGTTGGCCTTTGGTTAGATGAAAATCTTACCAAAGGTAAAACGGAACGTTGTGATACTTTTAATAACAAACCATTATGTACCAGTGGAGACTTTGCATGTTCCATTGTTGAGGTTATTGGCTTTATTTCATCATGGTGATATTATTATATTAATTATTATCTTCGTTATAACCACATATACATACACACACATATTTATCATATATCATATATTACTCTGATTATTATCCATCCACACACACACATATATATATATACCTTTAAACACTCCTCATCTTACATCTCTCTCCCTCTCCCCCTCTCTCTCTCTACCATCTCCTGCCCACTCCCACCATCACGATGCAATATCTTTATACATACAGTCTTTATCCTTCATCTTTTCCCTTTTCCCTTTTATCCTCTTTCTCTCTCTCTCTCTGTAAGTTATAATGTCTTTATTTTCTTGTGTTGTTGTTGGTTTGTAGGTTAAGTTTCAAGTGATTTACACACATCGATGTTTTTGTTAATTGTTTAGTCGAAAAAATTGTTTTTTTCTCATCTTCTTATTTTTTGCTGAAATTTAATCTACTTAATTGTTTAGTTTATGGCGCTGATACTATAACTTAACCAGCAACATCCCACCTTAATCACCACCACCACCACCATTACCCATCACCCACCAAAATCATCATCACTTGATCACCTTACAAAAAAAAAACAAAGATGAGGATAAACTGTGTGTGTGTATATATATATTTATATTTACTCTAGCAATCAACAAATTATCAGAATTATTTTATTTTGCCCATTTAAAAAAGCAATATTCAACAATTAGCCCAAACCCCTTTGGTTTACAATGGTTTACAATTAATTGTAGCTTTTTCCAACCTTTCTCTCCACCTTTCTGACATTACAATTACAATTATAATTTCATTTCATTTCATTAATCAAATTTTTCTTGTGTTATTGTCTAGTCTATATTTAAGCAATTAAAACACCAGATATATCAACAATTAATATATATATATATACATACATACATAATATTAAATAACAATGACAATTAATTTAATTTAGTAGCGTGTTTTAAATTAGCAAACAATTTTAAATTGTCACTTAATCAGTTGTAATCTATTTTATCTGATCAGTATTAATATTCAAAAACAAACAAAAAAAACAACAACAACAAAATAATTTGATTTGATTTGTCAATTTTACTCCGTGTGATATAAATATAATATATTTTAATTGTTGTCACAATTTTAATCACCATCATCATCAAGAATCTTAATCATTTTAATCATCAAAAAAAAAAAGTTAATTGTTAACTATTGATTGAAGCTTTTTGCTTTTTCTTTGTCTCTTTGGATAACATTTTAATTGGAAAACAGTATGTTAATTGTTAACAATTAAACGTTACAATCAACTTGTTGGTTTTGTCTTTTATGTGTTTAATTAAAAAAAGTTGTTATTAATAATAATGATTAATTAATTGCAAAATTTAACAACAACAACAACACCAACTAATCAACTGAAATACTTTGAATAATTAATTGTAATTTAAACTTTTTCCCAATTGTATCTAATTGTCAAATCACCTTATGTATTTACCTTTAATCCTATTAATTTAAATTGTTCATTCAAATTTACTCAGGGTAAGTAGTTAATTAAGTTAATCAAGAAGAAGAAGAGAAAATAATTAAGCCTTGTTATATTGTAATGAACAAAGAAACCAGAAGAAATTAAATTAATTATTGAACAAATTATTGGACAGCAATTAAAATGAAAAAAAAAGTTAACTCTCCTTAAATTGTGACAATTTATTTTTCCCGCGAGATAATTTGATCATCTTATATATTTAAAACAACAACATCAACAAGAAGAAGAGCAATTTAATCATATCAACAATTTGATTGTCCAACAATCAACTTAATCAAGAGTCTGCGTTTAAGAGTGGGTTACATTGCGCAAGAATAGTTAAGCTCACCCACCGTTGAGACAAAACCCACTCCCACCAAACCAAGAGTGGAAAAGTAGACTTGAAGTTCAGTTTGGAAAGTTTTTCATTCATGATAAGTGAGAAAAAAAAATTCTCAATTCTCAATATAAATTCAATTTGGAATCAAAATCATTACCTCATGTTTATGTGTGTGTAAGTGTAAACAATTAACTTCAACAATCAAGCCTGAAGGAAAATATCACCAATCATCTTGTCAATCAAGTGTATCAACAATTAACTAATCAATTCAATCAGATTTACACAAAAACAGGAACAACAAGCTAATTGTTCAAAAGTGTTTTCAATCATCACCATGAAGTTACTCTGAATGAAACTTTTTCTTGAGTGAGAAAAAACTTTCATCTGTGTTTCTAGAATAATGTATCACTTACCAAATCAACTTCCACCCCACCTTCCACCTCTACCACCACCTAATCATCCACATCATCTTAATCAGCATCATCACCATCAAAAGCAACAACGACAACAACAACAACAACAACATCATCCTCATCACCAACAACACATTTATGACAATGACGGTAGTGTACCAGTTTTTTACCGTTATCAATATGATAGTGACTATAATTCAATAATAAATTCAAAAAACATGGTCACCTCATCAACCTCATCCGATGGGATTAAAAAAGATTCCGGATTAATACAAATTTTATCCTCATCTTCCCATGATAATAATAATTCATCGCCTCTTTCCTCATCAACACCCTCACCTTCACCACCATTAGGTATGCTAATGGGTCCTGGTGATGATTGTCTTACCGGTGGTAATTCAGCTCCTGGTCAATCAATACTCACACCAAAGGAAAATACATTATCCTTTATTTATCCACTGGTGTCATTTATTTTTTCCACCCTCAATGTAATCATTAACACCTTACTAGTTTACCTGTTTTACCTTGAAAATCAGCATACATGGTTCATTTTGACTTCGACATTTTTATTTATTCCACTTTTACTGGTAAACATATTCAGTATCAAATGGTGAGTTTCCCACTCTGTCTCTCTTTTCTTATACACCCTCCCATTCATTTTCCCACTCTCAACAATTTAAATTGTCTCATAACGAATACAATATCAATCCATTCTCATGATATTATATCCATTTACCTTTAGCATCCAAATAACATTGCGTGATAGTTTAACATTGTTGTTATTTTTTTTTGTTTCTGTCATGAAAATATATCCAAGCAACACAGTCAGTGGGAGAGAGCAGTGGTGGGTGGTGGGTGGAGGTTGAAGGTGGATTGTAAATATTAAACAATAGAAATGAAAAAAAAAGATATTTGTATTCAGGTTTCTATTTTTAATCTTTTTTTCATGTTACTTTTAAACTCATTTGATGATATAAGTAATTGTATTGTTTTCACCACCCAACGATCATCATGGTAAATCAGATAACATTCTGAATGGTGGATTATTGAAGGGTGGAAACTTTCATTTTTCTCTCTCTCTCTCTTTGATCCTGGGAATGTTATATTAGACAGGAAATTCATGTTATCTGTTGTATGCAAAAGGTTGGATGATTTGAATCCCTCTCTACGATTTTGCTGATCTGATTCAGAACTTTTTTGTTTTATCCTTGTATTCCCTTGTGGAAACTCAATGGTTTCCCATGTTTCTTGATTTATATCATGTTATCAATATGCTTTTATCATGCAATGAATTGAAACCAGTGATATAAAATGGGTTAACAATAAATGGGAAGAGAGAGAGAGAGAGAGAGAGACGGTAATAGTTTCACTCTGAAAAAATTATCAACATATTTATGCATAAAATGATAGAATCCATATTCATGATAATGTTCACCATGAATTTTGTATATAAATTATTCAATTTCAAAGCTTTGTCCTTCTCTTATCATTTTATGTTTACATTTTGAATTGATTATCTCATGAACCCTTTATTTCATTTGGATACTTTGGCAACTATTACATGATCATGTTAACGATAATGATCATGGCTCTTGATATTTATCATCTCAATCTCTGAATCATGAATTCTTATCTCCGTATCTTTTAGTTATATCTTCAACTTCCTTTTCCCTCATCATCATTTTTTCTTCCGTTTTTTCTTCACTTTTCATTCCAAGTGATCTTCATGAGTCCGGAAAATGAATTGATAGATCGCTTGTCCCTCGGAACTGGCTCCGGATGTCCTTATTACATCTACATGTTACATCACAAGAAAATTGTGACAATCATCTTCATCTTCATCTTCATCCTTATCTTTTATCCTTATAATCTTTGATCTCTCTGTCTCTCTCTCACACACACTACCCATCATCTACTTTTCTCCCTATTGAACACAAAATGTCAATAAATGATGACGATTCTGACAATGATTCTGATAAAACATTCCCTCCATTTCCATAAAGATGGATCTTGATTCTCGTTTTCATATTTATCTTTCTCTTTCCAGATTATTTGAAATAGAAATGAAGATAAAGATAAAGATAAAGAAGATAGAGAAGATGACACATTTCCACTCTCTCACTCTCTCATCAATGATCATCTGATACAGAATCAGAATATTTTATCTCTATCATGGTTAACTGGATAAAGTGAACGATAGAAATGATAAATTTCAGATGAAACTTGCTGAATCTCAGACATTAACCCATAGACCAAAAATAAAGACAAAAAAAGGTTGAATGAGAATCTAATTCACAATGAAATACTATCAGCTAATTCTGTCAATATTTGTCATTAATAATGATCATGATCATGATGGTGATAACTCAATGAAATCTCATTCCAAATATTTATTCAATTCACCTTTAATACATTAAAAATTGAAACTTATCCAATAAAGTTCATATCAGGATAAATTAACTGTGTGTTTCAAAATGATAATACCAATAGATTATCGTAATTAATCAACATGGTTTAATATTTTCACTCAAGAGTAATTATAATACACGATGATTATGATGATTTACCCTTGGTGGGTAAATAAATGAATCTCAAGTTCAGGTAAAATCAGTTGATGAGTAATTATTATCTCAAAGGATTGGGTTGTATTTTTTATCACCATCATCAGCATCATGTATTATGTAATTGTTGATGATTAAATTCAATGAGGTGTTCAAGTTAATTAGTAGTTCAGTATCACCAAGTTTATCATGATGCTTATGATATTATTCATTGTTCATTAAACATCAACACCCACAGTAAAAGGGGATATATAGACATTGTTGTGGGTGAAAAAAATACCATGAAAAACAATGAAGAGGTTGAAACTTTGCCCCTTTTTTCATGGTAATGGTTGGAGGAGGTGGGAAAATGTTGTCAGATTTGTTGAGAGGCTTTTGCTTCATGTTTAACTTGTTAGTCTTTTTTTTCATGGTGTTTTTTTTACCACCATCACCATTCAGATGATTATGGTTCTTGTTTCATGCTGTGAATTTATATATCATTAAGTTTGGTGATGATTTTGTATTTATTATGATAAATATGAACTTGAGTTAGGGACTAATTACAAATGCATATTACGATTAATCCATGAGATTTTACATCATGAATTCGGGTATGGAATAGGAAATTTAACCAAGAAAAATGACTAAAAGTTAATCATTGATGCTGTGGTGGTGATGAGAGAGTAGGGTGGGCAAAAAATGACAGAATGTTAAGATAATGAGCTCGAAGTTTAGGTGTTAATGAACATGGGAGATTGTAGAAAACAAGAGATTTGAATTTAGAGAAAAGTTTTTCACTCAGTTTTATCTCATTTCTTATGACAGGGAATGTTAATCATGAAAGAGAGAGAGAGAGAGAGAAATATGAATATCTAAATTCTGATGTGATTTTTGTTCTCAAGCAAATTAATCCACCATGATTATGATTAATAGGAGAAAAGATAAAAAAAAGTTCGCTACGATTATTTTGATAGGCAAAGATTTAAGTTTAAAAGTGTCCATGAAATTATCATGTTCACGGATTCTTCAACTTGTCAGCTTCAAATGAGAATTGAAAAATTGTGAATATGAATCTCTGATGAAACTTTTGGAATTTAAAGATAACTCATGATTCATATTCTTTAAGCACCAATATGATCTGATTTCTTTTATATTTTGTTTTGTTTTGCATTTTTCGAAAAGTTCAAAAAGTTTTTTCTCTTTCTTTTTTTCCATGATATCAGAAACTGAACTTTATTCATTTTCATCAATTTTCTCCTGAGTTCGAACCCTTTTATTTTCTTGCATCTCACTTATTCTAACCTTACCCAGCGATTCCTCCTCAGCTTGGTAATAAATTTCATAAGAGAAACTTTATCATTTCAACCATGAATATCATCATAACTGAATAATCACCAGAATTTTCAGCAAAAAAAAGGGAAAAATATAAATAAGTTATATACCAAGAGGAAACTTTCAGGGTGAAAAAAAGGATTTCTATACTTTAGCTTTCAAGTTCATCATAAGAAATGATTTCATGATAATAGATTAACCTGAGCTTTTGATAACTTTTTTCAACTTTGATACTGTTACAAGAGAGACAAATTTAATCCATTGCAAAATTATTTAATAACTAATATAAAAACATTTTTCTTTCCAATATTTGTATTCCTATTCCACCAAACTGACCAATGCTTGACCACAATCACCATGAAAATGGCTCGAAACTTGGATTCATCTGGTTCATGTATGAAAATTGACCTTTACTCAACTTGTTTCAACTCATTCATATATAAATACAACATAACATTGTCCATGATTGTGTTTACTTTTGCTGAAACAATGTTTTTCATGGTCATCACTGGACATGATTTTGGTCATCCAGGTATATTCAAGATTATCGTCAATATAAAAATGAACCTTGTCGACCAAGGTTAACATCATTTCAATGGATCATCAAAATATTTGCTCATCTTTTGCTGATTGGACACATCTTTAGGTAAGCAAATAGCCAATAAATTATATTATACTTATCATCTTAGTTGGGTCATCATTATCATCATCCTCATCCTCATCCTAATATAATAATAAAAGAAAAAGACAAAAAAACTGAAAGCATTAAACTAACACTAATCATGAAATGACCATAAGACATTATCATCTTGTTAATATCCTTTAAGTTTACATGTTGATAGTAACATGGTGGAGGTTGAAACAAAGGCCTAAATATAGCTCATGATGATTTATCATATCTCTCTCTCTCTCTCTCTCTCTCGCATGATGATAAATATTATCTTGTTTCAACTTTGCCCTTTCATAGGTTAATAACCGTAATAATAAACTAATAATTTTTGGAGATAATTTTTTTCTCACTGATTTTATTTCATTCACAATTTTGGGTTCTCTTGTTTTTTGTTATGAATGTGACTTGAATCACTAATCATGATCAAATTGTTACAATTATGATGATAAAGAGAAACCAGAATCTATTGTTAATATGAGTTATCAAAATGTGATTAGAAATATCAAAGTGGCAAAGGAGGGAAATATATTGAAAGAGAATAGAACAGAAAAAAAGTTGTATCGAATTTTTTTTCTTCTCCTTTTTCTCTTTTTATATTCTAGATTCTCTCTTGGGATTCCAATTGATAATTTACTCCATGTATCATCATCTTCATTGTTTCTGAATAGTTTCATGATATTAGTGATCAATATGTTGATCATTTGATTAAGTATCAGTATTAACATTAAATTGTCACTAGTTGATGTTCAGGTTGTGGGTGGGAACAGAATCCAGGATATAATTTAGTTCAAGTGAGCAGTCAAGTTTAAATGATTACCTCTCACTCTGTGAATGATGATGATGAGTAAAGATGATGATAAAGAAGAAGATGATGATGACTGATTCTTGATTGGCTTTTACATTTGCAAGTAAATAAGTGATGAAAGGATGATTAACTTTCTAATTGGTTGATTTCATTCATCACAAGATGATTACAGAATTAAAAGGATGAAAATGATAATAGTTATTAAGGCAGAGAGAGAGAGAGAGAGAGAGAGAGAGAGAGAGAGAGAGAGAGAGAGAGAGAGAGAAGATGAAAATAAAGATGATGATGAAAACATTAAGTATTAATATTAAAATGACAAAAGGATGATAACTGGAAGATGATTAAAAAGATTCCATGTTAAACTTTTCAAATGATTAATAATAAAGGAAACAAATGGATACAGAATCTGAGACTATTATTCAAGTACATTTATATATATGTATCATTAGATTTTGTCATTTCAATAAAAGAAGACGATGATCTTTTTATGACGATTAAGAAAGAAATGAAAATGAAGAGAGAGAATATACCAAGATAGAATAATCAAGAACTCTCTAACTGAACATAATTCTTTATCTTAATCATGATCATGGAACTTTTTTCATCCAATGTGCTCCTATTTCCTCTAAATATCATCTTCATCTCAATAGTAAAGCATCAATTTAAACGTTTACCTAAAATATTAACCAATTTAATGAATATACAGGGCAATTCAGCTATTTTTACCGATGTTTTTTGCGATTTTCTCAGCAACTAAGAGTCGTAGAGACACGAGACTTGATTGGTATGAGCTTGAGCGATACTTGTTTGTCATATCAAAAGATCAAGGTCATTCAGGTCATCGGTAAAATAACACGTTTCAAGGTCATCTGAAGGTGCTACAGTTATCCTTCACATTTTTAACCCTGTAAAATGAGTTTAGAGATTCTTGTGTCACAGATATTGAGATATTACTGTTTAATTGAATAACTGTTGAAAATCTTTTATGCAATAAATTTATCCTAACGTGCATTGCAAAGCTCATAGAAACCTCAAAACTTGCCCGTAGTGTCTCTGAATATTCTTCTTTATTGCATTACCTTCAGATAACCTTGAAACGTGTTATTTTACCGATGACCTGAATGACTCTACGACTCTTAGTTGCTGAGAAAATCGCAAAAAACATCGGTAAAAATAGCTGAATTGCCATGTATTGTAGATCTGATTAGAGTTTGATCCATTCAAAATGATATCTGGCATCCCTAGTAAACCAAAGACAGGCCAACTTCACTTGGATTTTCTCGAACGGATACGGCATTTTATCTTCTAACTTTTTCAAATCAAATGAATTTACATCAACTGGCGAAGAGATATCATTAGAGTTAACCACGGAACAAAAGTCATAAGTCATAATTGCAAAAATAATTAATGTTTACACATTAAATAGTATTGCAAGAATACGGAATTTTAGACGCCGAAGTGAGTCGGATTGAGTGAGTGAGTGAATACTTCGGTAAAAATAGCTGAATCGCCCTGTACAGCTAAATGTATCATGATCATCTTTTTATATAAACAAAAGATGATGATGAAAACGGATGAAGATTATATCCTTTCCAACTTTCTCTCTCTCTCTTACTCTCGCTCTCCATTGAAAGATGCTCGAGATGAAGATGAAGATAACCACAAAGTATTGAACCATAAGCTGAGTTATATTAGAAAATTGTTTTTGATATTGATTTGGATGAAAATCGAGAAGGAAGAAATTACCAAATCAAGTTTGATGATCGATATAAAAACCAATCAACACTTTCTATGCTCTGATGTCCATCGATCAATAAAGTGGATGAAAATTGACAAGAGAAACTGTTTCCCATCGTTATCACCAAAGTCCAAAATTGCCAATTACCTTTACACCGAGTTGATGAGTTGGTAATTTATGATTGAAAATTGGGAAAAGTAGGAAAAGAAATTCCCAAAGATAAACATGGAAAGTGTTCAGTGTTAATCAACATTAAGAGGAGAAAAAAAAATTTCCACTAAACTTGAACATGATGATTCAGTGGGAATAAAAATGAGTTCATTAATTAGACTTGATAATTATCATGATAATAATTATGAAGATTCATGTATAACCAGAAGGGCTGAACTTTTATCTCTCTCTTCAGAACTTTTTTCTCCATTTTCATGAGAATGATGGAAACCACAGCATCAACTAATGTCTTTTATTGTTTCTTCATCCTCATTTAATTGGTGAGCAGTAAATTATCATTCTTACTAATTAAGTGATAATCTATTATCGTGATTATTATTCATTGAGAATTTGGTTCAAGATTTTTGACCTTCGACTATTTTATTTGATAAATTGACAATTTTTCTTAATTTTTTCGCGTGCATTTCCCAAAAATTTAGCTTATATTTCACGATTAATAATTAACTTGAATTGAATAATCTTGCTAATTATTTCCATTCTCATCTGATGAATGATTACCATTATCGCCTATTCAAACTCCCCTGAGGCTATTTACTCAATCATCTACATTGGTTGCTTATAATCAACCAAGAAAAAGAAGCTCCAGAAAGAAATAATTTTTGCCTCTTATTTATCATTCCATGTTCATCCTGATTAACATGATAATAGATGATGATGAAGTTCTGATGAGGTTATTTCAAGTAATGCCTTTAGTTGTGTTAGTCATTTGACGATAAACTGGCGATAATCCATCAATTCATTATATTAATTAAAACTGATAAAATAATTAAACAATTATGATTTTTGTTTCTCTCATTCAATGCAAATCAATGAGTTAGTTTCAAGCTTCACTTTTTGATTTAATTAAATTAGATAGCAGTTTAACTAAAATGCAGAAATTCATCTTAATTGGTCACAGTCATTGTATAAATTGGCTCAATTTCGGAGCTTCTCGAAAAACGTGTTAAAAGGTCATTTTAAGGTCATTTGAAAGAATATAAAATGACCTTGCAAAGCGTCGTTCGGAAAATTACCTCAATGACCTTGAAAATAGTAAAATCGAGCGCTTCAATTCTGTTAAGTCTTCTGGTCAGCGTTACCCTCATTCAACAGTCAGCAATTATTACTTCAATATCAATATATGTAATAATAGTAATTCAAATTTAGTGACTAGCAACACAGGGAAAGTTGTTAATAGTAGCAAACTATTAACTGGTAGTACATTGAGACTGTTCAGTGTTATCCACACACTAAACAATTATGTTTTCAATATTATTATTGCTAATAATAATTCAAATATAATTATCAACAACATAGGAAAATTGTTAATGTTAGACAAGTCGAAATCCACAAGTTTTCAGAAAATTTTAGATGGGCTGCTCATGGCCTGGGTGGACATTACAGGATAGTTTAAAACACCAAAAGGAAGCTCATATTAAAGTCAATTTTTGTGTTCAGCTTCGATGAATAAATCATGGTATGGATGCTCACTACTGGTGGTGCAACACCAAGACAAATCAAAAGTGCTTATTAAAGAAGATTCCGCTCCACATCCCAATGAACATCATTATTTGTAAAAAAACTCAAGTTTCGAGTAGCATGATAACTCGAAAATAGTATTTGTCCCTTTATTATCAAACATGTGACCTTCTAATAAAAATATGGTTTTAAATTGAATAAAGGTCAAAATTTGAATCAATTTTATTACCAATCTATGGTTTTATTGGATATAAATTCATTTTGAACGTTGAATAAATTGTTTCATTGGATTTCAAATCACCAGATTATCAATTGATTTCTTAATCTAATCATATCTTTTTTTTGAATATTGTAATGTTTTTTATTCCACTCTCGTGATAATAATCTGATTTTTTCTGCATTCAAAAGATTAACATTTATCTAACTTACTATCTACACTTTTACTCACCTTGAAATCTACTAGAGACAAAATTTATCAAGTTCACCCTGAGGGGTTCATCCAATACCCAAAGAGTACCCGAAATAATAACAAAATAATTTGAAATTCAAGCTCATCTTTCATGAGTAAATTTAAATGGAACTTGAAAATACTTGACGAGAATGCATGATAACTATCAGTTTACCAGAACTTTCAGAGTTTATATATACACACACACATTTACTTACTAATTTACTTTCATCCATTGAGAAAAAAACAAGAAAAGTTGAGAATCGTAAATAGAAAAATAAGTAAAAGAAATGAATTAAATTAACCTCTCATTCTCTCTCATTCGTATACAGATTAATAATGTTAATGTTCATTTGAGATCGAATAAAGTTTTTCAGGGTAATCATGGAAAAAGGTGGGAGAAGATAGACAAAAAATGAAACAATGAAAAGGCAGAAACATTGAAAATGAGAATCAAGAATCTTCAAGAATTGAATCTGATAAGTTACATGAAGTGTAGCATGAGGAAGAAGTGTATTAGTTTATGAGCGAACAAAAAAGCAAGAATGTCAGTCTATCAGAATCAGGGAGGTTAAATTATCCCTCCCAGAATTTTCAGTAACATGCAACAGCTTTTGCTCTGGCTGAATTTACCCTGAAGAGACATTTTTCATTTTTAAAGCTTGAGAATGTTGCTCAATGAAAAATAAGAGACTGAAAAAGTTTGAGTAGAAAAGTAAGAAAAAAAAATAATAATAGTAGAAGAAGAAGAAAATAGGATGATAATGAGGGTATTAAAGATGAGGATGAAGATAAAGAAAAGAGGATGAGAAAGATGAGAAACCCCATAAGGCTCATCATCATCAGCATCTTAACTGTTAACTAAACGTCATCAAAATCAACATCAATTTAGAGTGAGTTACTCTTTAAGGTGACATACACACACACTTACCCTCATCAGCTTATTCAAAACTCCAACCTCAGC